CAAAATTTGTAGTTCATATACTTGTGAGTTTAATCTGACTTATGACTTTAAAACTTCCCATTACAACTGACTCAAAAGAATCAACAGTAGAGAGACAAATCATCGTGAAGGAGGAAGTTATTATTTCTCTCCGTAAACTTGGACAAACTTACCCATGGAAATCTTTCACATTTTCCAGAGATTGAATAAGTAACAGATAAGTATGTTCAAAACACCATATAGGTCATAGCACTTACGATCAATTATAATTTTCTTGAATTCATTTCTAGTCATTAATTTTACATGAAAGTTCTCATTCATCTATTCACTTACTCTTTCTTCACTAGTACCTTCGCTTATGATTTTTATATTTCCTTCATATTCAGTAGAAAAATTGTTTTTATAAAATTTTATTTTATTATTCAATATAGTTGCCTTCGAGCGCGATACAACTATTATAAGGGTCATACAAATTTTCGGCACCCTTTTTATAATACCATTATAGTACCATTTTTGGTCTTTTAGGCCTCAGTAGTTTCGAAGATTACCTTTTAGATTAGATTGTCGGAGAGCTGGCCCACGGCCTGATTCACTGCGACCTTTTCGTATCTATTGTGATGCTCCTTGGTTGTTAGAGCTCATTGTCTAGCTTGATCTCTTTTATGAGACTCCATAGTATAGCCTTGACACTGACCCCTCCATATAGCTGGCAGCAGCTGGTTCCTCTTCCCCGCATCTTGCGTGTCTCAGCCTTGCTATCGCTTCGCATTCACAGAGCATATGCATGCGGTTTCTTCCTCTTCTTGGCAGAACCTGCATTGGGTTTCTTCTGTCAGACCTATTTTGCTCATATATTTGTGAATCAGCTGTCCCGTTAGTAGACCCACCACTACCCTTACAACCATACAGTTGTGGTTTAGTAGGTCTTCCGTGAATCTTGACGATGGTTTCTTTATGAACTCTTTCGCCTGCCTCATTCCTGGGAGCTTATTCCACCAATCTATCGATTGAGCTTGCATCCACGAATTTATGGAAGTTCTTATACATGCTTTCGTTACCCCGCAGAAGGGTTCTAGGCCGATGATAGCCTTGGATGCGCCTTCATGGGCTAGAGCATCGGCCTCCTCATTGCCCTTGTGACCCTCAGGTCCGGGTACCCAAGCTAGAGTGACCCTATTATGGGTACTTATCTCCTTGAGTGCGCTGAGACAGCTTCCCACCAGTCTTAAGAAGACTTGAAATGAGCTGAGCGCTTTAATTGCCGCCTGGCTGTCGGAGAAAATGGCAATGGTTTTATTTGTGACCTTCTGCCTAACCTAACCTAACCTAACTTAACCTAAACAGTGTTCGATGGCCGCTACTTCTGCTTGGAACACATTATGTTGCATTATGTCCGAGGCTGAGTGCGATTCTCGTCTTTGCTCTGCAATCTGCTTTGCGCAGAGGCGATATCGTAACCGATGAAATTTATCCGAGGTGCGATTATTGCTAGTTGGAAACGATTACCTTTTCATTGGCGCTGAATTTCTTTCTAGCGAGCATTTTCTTGAGGTCTCAGAATATGAAACAGCACTTTCTTTGTATTCAAATGAGTCCGTTTTTTACGATTTCATCGTTCAAACGCTCCAATAAGGCTATGTAATAGTCGCTGTTGATGTTTTTTCTTTTCAAGATAGTCGATGAATAGATAGATAGATAGACTTTATTGACTATTTCACACAGTGGTTATTGGTTCACAGATGAATCGAAAACACCTTCCGGTTCTGCTGCAGGTGTTTTCAGTCGCAGACCCAGGACAGAGATCTCAACCTGCCTAGGAACCTATGCGACTGTATTTCAAGTGGAAATTCACGCTATTAAAGTGTGTGCGGAGAGATTGGAAGAATCCAACTTCCTACACAAGTTGATGAAAATACCGAGCAACGTCTGAATTGGTAGCAAATTGCCAAAAACGACTCTCCTCGATAGGAAGACTTGATAGATTGTCTCTGGTCTGGATTCCTGGCCATACTGGCCTGGAAGGCAATGAAGTTGCTGACTCTCTTGCAAAGGAGGGTGCTGCAAGCGGCTTCATTCGACCAGACAGAACCTGTCATTGGCATTGCTTTAGGCTTTGCCAAAGAAATATTGAACATCTGGATGGCAAGAAGATTTATGGACTTCTGACAGAATCTTCTAGGATTGGCTCACTCCAAGGCGTTTATTCACCCTTCAAAGCTTGATACCAAACATTTGAATCATTATATGAAGAGACTCGAACTGTCGGAAGACACTGTGTGTCGCCTGTGTTTGGAAAATGATGAGCGGAGTACATACTTTGTGCCTGCCCCGCTGGGGACCAAATCAGGGTTACAGAATTCGGCAGATCCATTCTCTTACCATCTGACCTAAAAGACCACTCGCCATACAAATTATTCGGCTTCGTTAAAAAGCTGGGTTTATTTTGTCGATTGTGAATAGGTGTGAGCCTCAATAAAACCTTGCGGATTATTGTGGAGGGTCGAATAGACCCACCCACTTTGGACCTAACCTAACCTAACCTAGTCAACTCGAGTCAATCAGACGAGAACGTTATTGTTCATTTTTTATTGTTAAATTATGGAGTCAGAAAGGAGTGCTGTTGAAGTTTTTCAGTGTATGTGTGAACCTCTGTATTTTGTTGAGCAAATATATGCATTACGAATATTACATCTGCTTTCATTAAACTATAAAGCAATCGTTGTCTACGAATAAATGACGGAATTGCACTTTTTTCCTCACAGGCTCGTTATGTTTTCCCTCAGGCAAAGAAATCAATATTGAGAAAAATGTTATGAGTAGGTTGGGAAACGCAAATTTGGAGAATGTTCATAGAACAACGATTGGTGTACATATAAAAACACTAACATACCGTAGATTTTAATTTTAGTAGTCTCCTGATGATGCTGACTTGGTTAGCGAAACGCGCGTCGAGAGACTGTATTTTTATTCTGATGTAGGAGGATATCTATCGAGATTTTTGTTGTTTTATTTTGAATATTAGGAACAGATATCAAATACATAAATCTCTTTTCAAAACTCACTAAAACAGAACACAAAACCATTTTGATTTAGAAAACCGAACGTTAAATGATTTTTCAATACTGACGAATACTGAATTACAATCAACACGCTTCGATGTATACATAACTTTACCATACTTCAGTCGTCACCTTATGTCTATGTCAAAATTTTCACTTCTTGTTGTTGACATAATAACAGAACAACAGCACACAATTAGTATTAATTCAATTTCGAAAATTCACAAACTGACAGCGTCATACCAATTTAATTGTCACTATCGCTAATAGCGACCTACTAGATACATTAGTTTCGTATTTTCGCATTTATGACGATGTATCTCTGTAGTTGTTCGTAAAATAATTTTTTGCTGCGAACTGGTTTATTTTG